CGGCACCGGGGGTGCTCGGGGTGCTCGGTAGTGGAGTGTGCAGTACTGGGATGCTCAAGCCCTGGGATGTGCAGCTCCAGGGGTGCACGGTCCTGGGATGCTCAGCCGCTGGGATGCTCGGTACCAGGGGTGCCCTGCTCCAAGGATGCTCGATCCCCAGGGTGCTCAGCCCTGGGGGCGCTCAGCCGCAGGATGCCCGGCCCCACGCTGCGCCCCATGTCTCCTCCAAATGATGCTCTGTGACATTGTCCTCCCCAGGACTGCCTCTTCCTGCCCATACGACCCACGGCCCTGAGCTCACCCTCTCTCCAGCCTCTTCTCCTGCTTCGGCTTCCTTCCTTGCACCCACTCTTCCCACTCCCAACGTGTGAAGACACTCCAGCCTCCAGGAAAGCCCTGGCACCAGCGGAGACGCTCCCTGCCCTCCGCGCTCACCCGCTGCACTTGCAGCACTGCCCACTGCGGCCTGGGCTCAGCCCCTGTTGGGTCAGCCCAATTCAGCTCTCCCCCAATTCACATCGATTTCCTGTTCCAGAGCCCCAGCGCAGCACGAGGGGCCCTGGCCACCCTCCTGCCGGCCACATGAGCCTTAGTCACCATGACTGGCAGCGGAGGGCGCTGGTGCCGTCCCGGGCCCGCATACAGCCGGGACAAGCGCTGGGGACAAGTGCTGGGGCAGGTCTCCCAAGGGACCCAGCGCCCTGCAGAGCGCCCCGGGGCGGCAGGCGGCCACGCGGCACCGTAATCAGGGTGCACTGGGGCACCAGGGTTCACGTGTGGAGGCTTCACGCTGGGCTGATGTCACTCGCCCAGGAGGTTCCCGGCAATCTGCCCTTCCCGCAAGCAGGTTTCCTGCGGCCTCAGCCCCTCTCTCGGAAGTGCATTCCTCTCCCATGGGGCTGCGGTGATTCATGGCTGGGAGCGGGCGGTGCAGCCGGCAGGCCTGGAGCTGTCGGGTGGTGGGGTGGTGTGTGGAGCTGCTGCAGCACCCGGCAATGTGCTGGGGACATCCTGGGAGACAAGGGACTAGTGGGGTGGGAGCAGGTGGCAACGCTGGGACAGGCCGGCACTGCTGTGCGGGCAGCAGCAGGGACACAGGGCCGGTGGGATGTCCGGGGCGCTGGCGCAGCCAGGTCGATGGGTTACATAAGGTGCAGAGCGGCTATCGATCGGCCCAGCCGCCCCATCCTGGGGGCTGGGAATGGCCCCCTCCCTTTCTCATGGAAAAATCAATGGGCTAATTACGAGCTCGTGGTGAGGCGAGCATGCCCGGGCCTTGGGGCTGCTCTGCTCCTGCTCTGGGAGCTGTCATGGCTCGGGCAGGGAGCCGGGCGGGGTCTCCAGCCCTGCGCCCTGTACATCTTGCTGCGATGCGGAGTGAGGGGCCAAGTGCCCCTGGATCCTGCAGCATGGAGCAGACGGCGACGACGGCACAAAGAAGGGATGCACCCAGAAAACAAGCAAGCACGGACCGGGGCTGAGCTCAGTGGGCAAAGTCCTGCGCGGCCGCCGAGCCCCTTCCTCGCACCCGGCCCGGCCCCCCGCCCGCGGACTTTGCCCTCCCTCCCTGCAAGGTCAACCCTGCCGAGCCCTGACGCGGCGCCTCGGGGACGGCGGTGCCGCAGGGCCGCCCGCACGCGCGCGGCGGAGCAGGAGGCGGCAGCGCTGCGGGAAGGGCCGCGGGGATGTCAGTGCCAGGGGTGGCCGCCACGGGCTGCAGCCGTCCCCAGGGGGCACGCGCAGGGCCGCGTCCTGCTGGTGACACAGGCCGGCGAGCGGCTGCGCCCTGCCCTGCGCAAGCTGCAATTATCCCGGCACAGCAGTAATTAGTGGCCCGTAATTGGGCCAGGCTAGGGCCAGCAGAGCCCCACCTCGCCCTCCCGCCCCGGCGCTGGGGCCGATCCCGGCCCTGCTGCACAGCCCCAGGAGCTCCGGGATCACCGCTTGCTCGTCACCGAGCGTTCGTCCCCAGGCCCCGTGGGACCGCACGCAGACCTGCAGCGCCCTCCTGGACCAGTGTGCATGGAGGCCCTGGGGGCTCCATGAAGGCCCATTGTGACCCCCGGCCGGGTGCGCACGGAGGCCCTGGGTGGCTGCACGAATGCATATAGGGTCCCCGGCCCCGCGTGCCCGCAGGTACCGCGCGGCAGAGCCTGGCCCCGGCCCCGCGTGCCCGCAGGTACCGAGGGGCAGAGCAGGGTGCACAGAGGTACCGTACGGCAGAGCAGGGTGCCCGCAGGTACCGCGGGGCAGAGCCGGTCCCGCGGCGCCTCCCGCTCCGTGCGCGCGGAGACCCCTGGAGGCCGCGCGAGGCGCCGCCGGATCCGCCAGCAGCGGGCGCGCGGCGGCCGCGAGGGGCCGCACGAAAGCCCCGCGAGCGCCCGGCGCACCGCGCAGGGACCGTGCGGGGCCGCATGAGGGCCCAAAGGCCCCCAGCCCCCTGCCCACAGAGGCCCTAGGGGATCCATGAAGCCCGTGGGGCCCGCGCGGGCCTGTGCTCGTGGAGCCCCCGCGGCCCACAAAGGCCCCTCAGGCCTGTGCGCGCAGAGGTCCCGGGGGCCGCGCGGAGGCCTGTGCGGCCTCGCTGGCGCAGTGCACAGGAAGGGCCGCAACCCGCAGGGGTCCCAAACGCTGTGCGCATGGAGGACCGGGGGGCTACATGAAGGTCCGTAGGGCTCCCGGGCCCACGAGCCCACCGAGCACCGGGAGCCGCACAAAGACCCATGGCATCGCCCTGGGCCCGCACATGCGGGTGCCCCAGGGGGCTGCACGCAGACCCCTAGGGCCGGAGACCATAGCCCCGGTTCCTTCATCAGCGCAGTGCTGCCAGCGTGTCTGCTGTCCCTCAGAAGGACGGGGCAGACCCTGCGGGCAGACTGCCACGGGGCCATCTGACAGCCAGGACGATGACAAACAGGTATGGCGGTGTACATGCAACCTCCGTGCAGTTACTTTTTTTCCCAAAGCAGCAGGCTTGCTGCCATGTGCCATCTTCATCAAAATGCCCACTGCGGGGAGGTTAACAGCCCACAGTAGGTATCTCTGGCTGCCTGGCAGAGATACTGTTCCCAGTAGGCCTAGAAATTAGACTGGATTAGAAACACAGGCAAGAATGATTTTATGAAAGGCCTAGGTGACAGTCAGAGAATCTGAGGTAACATTCGCAAATGGCACAAGGATTGACCATGACAGATCTCTGCTGCAAAATGATCAGGATCATCAGTTTCAATAGTCCCAGACCAGCTGTGTTTTAAGACCATCGTCTGGAAGACTATAACTGAGAGCCAGGAAAACAAGTTCTCCAAGACAGATTCTGTCTCACGAAGCATCCTTCAGAATGGCTTGAGAGTCATTCTGCCTATTCATGTGATGTTGGATGCATAAAAGAGGAATAGCAAGAAGTCAGGAATGACCCAGATCCTTCACACAACATCGGAAAAGCTGTTACAGGAATACTGCCGCAGCTCGGCTGTCAGCCTCCGATGAAGGAGGTAGGAGCACAAAAGGAGGTTAGAGAAGAGAGTTCTGGGGACTAGAAAATATCCTTATGACTTGAGGTCAAGATGCTCTTCATGCTCAGCACAGAAAGCTGAAAGATCTTCACCATGATGTTCACCTCTGGTGGAGAAGGAGCTTATGGGAGTAGAGACATCTGCTTTTCTAGTGATGGTGTGATGAAATGCAGGGGCTGGAAATGGAAACAGGTGATGCAGGGCTGGGGAACCTCCATTCCTGGGGCTGGCCTCCTGACAGCCTTTTCCAGGACATTGCTTTGTTTTTCTATAAATAATCTACTTGCTTTTTTATTGCATGGATATATTTATTGGAAAACAGAGCTTAGGTTAAAGAAAACAGGTCTCACCGCCTGCATCCCTACCGGCAAAAGGTTTACGGTAATGTTTCAGGGTGTGAACTGAACTCATGTAGAAAGTTGGCTGCTTAATATGGAAACGTACCTGTTTCTATGTTCTTTAAATATGTTTTTCCCTAGTTAAAGTCTTTGCTCTCTCTTGCCTGCGGCTTTCAACCTGGGTGGGTAGGGGTATGGGATTTGCACATCGCGCTCTTCATTTCGCAGGGCTCCTGCAGGGCCCCCTTGGTATTAGGCGCAGGTTCCTGAAGCGGCGCAGCCGGCTGGGCCTCAGGTGGGTGGGCAATTTGGGGATGCCAGGGAAGCTGCGTGCGGGGTGAATTTCCCCTGTTCCGTGAACGTTGCAGCCTGCCCCATGCTCTTCCTCGCCGTTCAGAGCAGCCATCGCCCCTCTGGGCATGCAGCAAAGAGCTCTGCACCAAACCCTGGGGTTTTGTGAAAGCCAAGCTGGTTCCGCTGGAGAGAGGAAGAAGGGGTGAAAAATGGGCTTTTAATGCACTTTCTGTTGAAAAAAAAAAAAAAAAAAAGGGACAGGGTGCTTCTCCCCGTGCACGGACAGCAGGGGGCTGAATTGCACCATGCACTGCAGCGCATCCTGCAGCGCTGTGTACGGCACGTGGAGCTCCCGCTGCTCCGCTCCGCTGCAGCTGCACCCAGGGCTGCTCCGCGAGCTGCAGCACCCACCGGCGCTGCAGAGCTGCAGGGTGCCCTGGCTCTGAGCTGGGCACAGGCAGCTGCGGCTGCGTGGGTGCAAAGTGTGCGAGCAGCGCAGCGTGCACGAGGCCAGAAGCCGCGAGGACGTTTAGGAGCATGGCCAAGGATTATGTGGAGGGAGCGAATTGGTTTTGCACTGTGCATTGGGAAGTGCTTGGCCACCAGTGTCCACTCACAACACAGACAGTGCCTTGGTGCCTTGGTGACTGTTTGTAACTGATCTATAATGGCAGGGAGTTATAGATTGAAAGTATACATATACATTTATATATATGAAAATGCATGGAGCAGTGGATGCTGCCAGCGTGTGTCACTTGTTTCATGCCAGTGTGCTCTATCTTCTCAACACGGTTGGTGACTCCCCATTGAGGAGCGGCAGTCTCTGTGTCACCTGCACGATGTGCCTGTGCTTGGAAGCACTTCTGGAGAGCGTGGGGAAGGCGAACGGGCAGCACTGCAGCTCGCAGCTCTGTAGGAGCTCTGAGAATTGGGTCCTACAGTGCCTCTCAGGGAACGGCTGAAGCTTTCCTTCGGTTCTGTGCATAATTAGAGGATCTCTTTGCATTTACAGTCTTGCCTTTAGCTGCTCTGAGCTTATGGGAAAGCTAGTGGAATGTTTTCTGGCTTAGAGGG